CAAGCACGGCGATCGGACCCAGCGGGATGGCTCTGAGCGCGCCTTTTCCAGACGCGAGCGGTGCCCACACGTCGACGTTCTCTGCTTCGTCCTTGAGGCTCGCGTTGCGCAGCTGCGACGGGTTGCGGAGGACGCTGGGGCCGTAGTTGGAGATGGCGTTGCGGTCGCCGACGTCGATCATTTCGGCGATCCGAATGTCTTCGTGCCGCGCCTCGAGCTCGGTGGCAAAGCGCTCGAACACGACGTCGCGCTCGGAGCTACGCAGGAGACGGGTCCAGACGCCCGAGCTGTGCAAAGCGTCCGCGGCGGCGAGCGCGGCTTCGACGTCAGTGGCTGCGGTGGCGAGAAGCGGCGTCAAGGGAGCGCCGGTCGCAGCGTCTTGGGTCGACGGAAACAAGTCGGCTTCGGCAAAGTCCGTCACTGTCGGCGTGACGCGCTCGTTGTTGATGAGGTTGGCGAGCGTGCGGACGAAAGCGGGATGTGTCGTCGTCATGGCAAAAATGGAAGTGAACATCAAACGAGACGCTTGGACGCTGCCACGTGGGTGGGCCACCGCCATCTGGTATTGGCAATCTGGCGAAATGTGTCTAATCACTGCATCTGGGCAAGCGTCGGTGGCAACGACCCGACGTTTTCACCCATTGATTAGACACAAAGATTCGCAGATACTAGCAATCGAAACGGTGCCAGTTGACGCCGTCTTCGTTCCAGAAGTCCCTCGTTCTTGGTCGGCACACGGCCAGAAGGTACGTCATGCATCGTCGTGGCCTGGGATTTCTGCTCCTACATGCAGTGTATTGCTAGTACATTGACGGCGCGTCTTTGATCGATGTAGCCAAGCAGAAGCGTATGTATGTACACGGTCATTTGATCCAGGATTAGTCAACCACATCAAGGACATGCAATGATATTGATTATAGTGTACAGAGGATGACGTCACGTCCCTAGTCGAGCTCGTACATGACGTCGTTGGTGAAGCGACTGATGAGCGCCGCCTTGGTCGCCGGCGCCATCGTCGCAGCCACTGCTTCCGCGGCTTGGACAGGCGTCTCAGCCTTGCAAACACTCAGAACGACGAGGACATTGTCATCGGCCACCGACGCGACGCTGCACTTCGCAGGCTCCAGATGCGTGTCGTCAAAGTCCTTGGTCAAGCAGTACGACTGCGCCTCGCGCAGCGTGCGGAACCGAAGCGTCATGCGCGACGAAGTAAACTCTGTCTGAACGGTCGACGGATCGACCGACGGCACGTCGACGAGAAGAGACATCGATGTTCCGTCGTCGCTCGTTGAGATTCGGAACGGCGGCGTTTTGAGGGCGCCGACCTTGGTGCATACGACGGCCATGTTGGTCGTCGCAATATCATGCGTCCACTCGGCAACATTGGCGACGGAGAAGGACCATTCAAACCAGAGACCCTCCGCGGTGCGGAACTGAAGGCGCGCAACGTTGGCTTCTTCGAGGATCGAGACGGTCGCCGCTTCGATACCGGGTACGTGCACAAGGTACGAGATGTGCGACTCGGTCTCTTGCTCCGTCACCTTGGGCGTCTTGTACGTGGTCCTACAGGGTGGAGTCAATCAAAGGTATCAAAATTGTCGTCTACCGAGGCTTGTCGTGGAGGGCCATGGCCGCAAATTCGCGGTACGGGGCAAATTCATCGGTGGGCGGAAGCTTTGGCGTCGTCACCTGTGTGACCGCCAACACCTCTGTAGCCACCACGGACGAGACCGTTGCTGGTGGCGACACGGCGATCACATGGTCTTGCTGGACCGTCTCGGTTGTCTGTGCGTCGGCACTGCCGTCGTCGATAGGCGCATCCTCGCTTGTCGACTCGACACGTGGCGTCCTTAAAAAACGCTGATGAGAACGGGTGAGACATTGGGAGGAGGAGGTACGGTGCCGTGGGCCGAGGTGCCTCGGGGACGACCGGTAGCGTCACGATGAGCTTCTTGGTCGCCTTGTCGAACTTAGCCACGCCCTTGGCTTCCACGACCGGAAACGGCAGATCGATGCACAGCGGCGCATACGCCTTGGACTCGATCTTGACCTGTGTGGCCGAGACGTCCAGGTCGATGCCCGCCGCCGACGTCTACCCGAATAGCGACAATGTTTGCGTTAGGCGATTGCAGTGGAGAGAATGCTACGTACATGGGTCGGAGATCCATCTTGAGCACGAGTTCGCGCGGCCGAAAGAG